AGAGAGGATTCAAGTGTTGTTAGTGAAGTAGCATAGTTTGACCAAAGTGAAATGTATACTTATTTGTAAAAAACTAAATCCAAAGCACATGTGTGTCCTTTTTGCTTGATTTGTAACACACCTATAAGCCTTAAAATACAAATTAAATAAACAATATATATGAAGTTAACCAATTTGTGCCAAAACAAGAGCAATAAGAATGATAAGAAGATAAAATGCCACACGTATTTTTCTGATCAAGTGAAAAATGTAATTTGTATCAAGGAATGAAGAAAAGCGCTAACATTGTGTTTGTTAAATCTTTTCATATACATTTGTTTACACTGAACATTTTTTACTTTTTCAGATACCAAAAACATGATTTACTTTATTGCAGTTTCTAAGATATGGACATTTTCTTTGCACATTGTAGTCTTTGGGCACATATATGATGAAGGTTGTAACGTCCAGCTTCTGGTCATCTCAGATGTGCAATAGCATTCAAAATCACCAAACAAACACTATAACTATACTGAAGTTGTAATTACATGTGAGGAAATGTGTTCATTTTGTTTTGGTTGACACCTATGATTGAAAAAGGACAGAGTATCCTGCCATAAAATATCATTGATGTTGAAAAGATAACAGACATTAAAACACCTTTAATGCTAACATTCTTTCACACATTGTATTACAATGTACAACACAAACCTTTAATGTAAAAATGATTTGTTCTTCTAAAGATTGTTTGATGAATACAGTCAGCACTGTTTGATGTATAAAATATACTTTTCACTTATGTGAGCTCCATATTTTTTACCCCATTGTGTTGGAAATCATTTTAGATTGTAACTTCTCATTTACTTTACAGTTAATCACAAATACAATAAGATTTATAATGGTACAAGTGATTATCGATGATTAAATATGTTATTAATTGTCTATACAGAAGTTATGAATGCTTCTTGAGAGCAGTCATCACAAACATGAATAAACACATTCAAATATCATTATATATGCCTACACCAACACTTGTGTGTGTTATAAACCATTTAAAAAGTGTGTGTGAGTAGTTTTAATAAATGCTAAATATGGGAGATAATATTAAATATTATCGAATAAACATAACGCTTATTTTTCATCAAGCTTTTCAACCAAGCAGTGGTGGAAGGAGCACTCCGAATGTTTTATTAGGTAAAGTAAGACTCTGTTACAAGTAGTACAAGGAAAAGTCTGGCATTCAAAATCTTACCTGAGTAAAACTACAAGTACAAGTATCAATATATACTTCTAGCACCAAAACTGAAAGTACTCATTATACAAATGGGTCATTTCCAGAAAGAAAAAACGTTTTATGTCCCAGGATTATAATTAGTGTTCCATTAATGTGTACATCATGTTTGGGTGGGGGGCTAACTTTAATCACTTTTTGTACAATCATAATTCATTTGTTTAATTATTTTTTGCAATAATAGTATGAACCTGCAGAAACCAATCCTTGTGTGTGTATATATATATATATATATATATATATATATATATATATATATATATATATATATTAGTGGTTTTATTTCATTGAATTTTGGATGATTTAGTCAACTTTGTAAAACCCATGGTGTTCCTGGTCAAAAATGACCGTGTGGAGTCTATTGTTATATAATATTACAAGACTGATTCTTATTTGACATGATATGCTTATTGTGCTCATGAGATTGCTATGACTATAGAATACATAGACACAATCACTAATCCCATGTTCTGATGGGTTAGATACCAACGAGGGGAATAGTCAGAAGAAAGTTTTAGCTTGCAATAGAAAGTAGCAGAAGCCAGATGCAGGCACTGTAGAAACAGAGTTATTGAGGCTATGGCCTTGGTCGCCTGGGTTAGCTCCGCGCCCACACATAGCTGGGAATCAGTATAACCAAGATTACACTTTTCTGTAGAAGCTTCATCAAAACAAATTACGTATGATGGTGCCAGGACTTCCACAGGCCGGCCGAATGCTGATTGGAGGATCGTGTTACCAAGAGACTCTATCTGAGTCTGCGCACCAACCAAAGAGAACCAAGTCTAATCCGTGGTATCTCTTCAGCTAGTCTTGACCAATCATAAATGTACGGGCAACGCCCAGTGTAATAAAATGTATTGTCGCATGAGGTTCGAGGCTCTTGACGGATTTGGTGGTTACAGATTACAGCTTTGCTGCCTGTGATTCCCAAAGACGTGATGAGTCCTTGGCCAAGTAATATATATCTTTTGCTCTCTTTACAATAAATAGTTCAATTTAGAAGTTGTCTGTCTTTTCTGGAATTCTGAACCCAACAACCGCCATAAAGAAAAGGAATTAGTAACCATCCGGATCAGATAAAACACACACACACACACACACACACTCTAGATGTGACCCCCCTTATGTGCCCATCCCCCCATGTGAATCACACCTAGCAGACACAAACACACACACACACTGAACAATTTGACACATTTCCCGCTCTTATGTGCCCCTCCCCCCACATGGATCACACCTGGCACACGCAATACATGTTCAGTGTCTATTCTTTATAAATGTACTACAGTTTTTGATGAATACCAGTAGTCTGATACAATATTTACAGTTTGAAAGGGTGTTAAATGAAATTTGGTGATGATTAATGGTTGTTGTGTTAATGTAATAGTAGTTTAAACAGGACCGGTCAAATTTGACCGCGAACACCAAAGTAAGGGGGGGAACACGAAGACAATAGGAGGATTAAAAGTAAAAGCATGCACTGCTGATACAGACAGGCGTTCTGAGGTGTGACCACTAGAGGGCGCGCCAGCCTTTAACCTGCAGCACCAACCGGGAGAGCCGCTGAGCAGGGACAGGGACAGGCTCTGTGTGGTGAGGAGTGGGAATATACCACTGACTGCTTTCGTTTACCAAAGAGGGCTTTTAAACAGGGGAAAGTGAACCCAATTGCCGATTGGTTTACTCCTAATTTCTTGATATTTGAAGTGTGTGAAACAAATACCGAGAAAAATAATCCCTTTTTTTGAATTACCTATTTAGCATACATTTTAATCTGATCTGATATTATCGTATTCTGAATAAAATAATAATACAAAAGCTAAATATGACTTTTTCATAGAGGGAGGGATACTAATACTGCAACTACTAATAGTCATCAACTACTTCTGGTCTTAACAATGTAAATAGTCATGAAAATAGCTTAAATTATAATAATTAAGTCTTATAATAGAATATATATAAAAACTGTATATATTAGTAATAATAATATGGTCTTAAAAAAAAACATATATACATTAATATATATAAATAATAATAATAATAATAATAATAATAATAATAATAATAATAATAATAATAATAATAATATTAATAATAATAGTATATAATAATAATATGGGATTTCGCATATCATGTTTGACCAGTTTGACAGAACAATTGTCCCAGCTGGCTAAATAAGACATAATATTGTAAATAAAATTATGTGTGTTGTTTTTTTTCACTGTAATTATAATAACTGAGTTTATTATTATTATCTTTAAGTCGCCACATACAGGCTGGTGTGCATATAGTGTTGCTATGTGATGCATGGAGCACTTAAACATTTCTCAATGCAACTATAAATGATTGAAATAATAATAGCAGTTGTTGATGAAAGTGATTTATTTTTTAATTAGGATTGTTTATTTAGAAACGAAAAGATGCCCTGCCATATTGGGGACCTTCAGTAAAACGTTTTTAATTATTTTGGATGTAATACTTATATTACAATTTTTCCTTTAAAAAAACATTATAATATAAAAGGATACTTGAAAATACATTTCAAATATCTAAATATAAAATGTTAGAAGCATATATTAGCAGAGTGTTGTCACAACAGCCTCAGCAGCTGATGTGCTCACAGCACTTGCTAGGAGCTGAAGGCCTGCGATGCCAAAGATGGATACTGCTCTTTGCCACGCCCACTCTGTTGCCACTTTTATGCGCTTTTTTCTGGAGTAAAGCTTAAAGATATGTTTTAAATATATTCTCGACATGCAAACTGGACGCAATAAGTGTACAATTGTACATTTAAGCTGCCCTGCTGAGTTTAAGTTGCGCACAATGAGCACGAAGACCATCAGTGCTTAATGAGGGGGTGTGATGCTCTGATATTGCAAAAGGAGGATAAAATTAATAAAAGTATGCTTTCTTTTTGGTCAAAGTGTAAAATACTACTGTATTATATTAAAGTAGAACATATAGAATGTCGATGCGTGGTGGTTTTTGTGGAAAAATCGATAAAACTCGGTTGCCTCTGAATATTCAAATTGAAAGTAACGCGCAATCAAATCATTGTCAAATCATTGAGTTCTAGGGGTTTTAAATAGTAGGCATGGAGGCAGAAAATCTCAAACTAAAATGTCCCCAGCTATAATACAATATTGTTGGATGCTCTGACACTGCTGTAGGACATTTGTGTTGAGATTTTTGGAGACTTTTGCACAAATTTCGTTCTTGGCCATTTTGCTGAGGCAGAAAAAGGACGTTGTGGAGTCCCACAGGTCTTCTCCAGGGAGCCTCTCTTCATCTTTCCCCATCATGTCTGGTGAGTTTCACGACGAATTTTTATCTGTATTTCATTTTGGTGCATTTTCTCCTGTTAGGCACAAAACAGAAAAGAGGGGAAAAAAGAGACATTTAGTGACAACATTTAATAATCTTAAAATACATGTGCATGAAAGGGAGGATTTGTTTATATATTCTCCTTTTAATCACACTTTTAAACAATATATGAGATGACCAACAGTATAATTAAACGCCTCATAATTAATATTCTTACTTTAATGCCACCTGTGTGCATTAATGGATAAGAAGATTTGACTTTTTTCATTGAAACGGGCCACACAGCTTTACTGACTTTTATGGATGTAATATCAACTTCTATATACGCTTACACATCACATGTTAACAATCAGTTCTAATACAATTTATAAATCATTAAAAACTCCTAAAGGTAACATTTTAA